AAAAAAAAAAAAAAAAGAAACTAGAGAGCGGTAGTGGTTGAACAACATTGTGAATGCACTAAATGCTATTGAACTGTATACTTTAAAATAGTTAATTGAATGTTATGTGAATTTCATCTCAATAAAAAAATCATATAATGAATCATGTATTCACCTTGGCTTACTGATCTACAAGTATATTCTCTATGTTTACAGGATAATTAGTAGAAAAGAGTTATAATTTAGAGATTGCATGATAATACCATGAAAAGCAAATCTTATTTATAATTCAAGATAAATGTGAGATAAAAGTCTAACTAAAAGCCTAAAAATTACTTTTAGGAGAGTCTGCAAATTTTCCTCTCAAAGTTACAATTTTCTTTAAAAAAAAATTGGAAACCAGATGGTCTTATACATAAAATCTCAATATTAAATCCATATGGGATTTAAAAATTAATTCTGTTGCAGCTGCAGCAATCATAACTGTAGTCAATGTGTTTATTTTTCCTTCAGTAATGTTTAGAGCAGTGTTTCTCAAAGTGGGAACTTGTTAGAAATGCAAATTCTCATGCTCCACCCCCATCTACTTAATCAGAAACCCTGGGGGTGAGACTCCCGCTGGCCATCTGTGTTTTAATAAGCCCTCCCTGTGAATGCTCAAGTTTGAAGACCATTGGTTAAGACCAATAAGCACAAGTGTTGGACAGGGAGGCCATTATAAGCATTTTCTTACCAGACAGTGTCGATTCTTAAACGTTGCTCTGTTTGTCCTAATTCTTAACATGTCAGCTTGCAACACCTGTGAATTAAAACTAAAAAGAAAAAGAAAAACATTTGTTATAAAATCCATTACAAAAAAAAAATTTTTTTTTGAGACGGAGTCTCGCTCTGTTCTGTTGCCCAGGCTGGAGTGCAGTGGCACGATCTTAGCTCACTGCGACCTCTGCCTCCCAGGTTCAAGCAATCCTTCTACCTCAGCCCCCCTAGTAGCTGCGATTACAGGCATGCACCACTATGCCCAGCTGATTTTTGTGTTTTTAGTAGAGACGAGGTTTCACCATGTTGGTCTGGCTGGTCTCGAACTCCTGACCTCAGGTGATCCACCCACCTTGTCCCCCTCAAAGTGCTGGGATTACAGGCGTGAGCCACCATGCCCGGCCACAAAATTCTTTTAAAGAAGATTTCAAATACCTAAACAGCAAGGGTAAAGGCAAGCTGTGCAAAGGTAGAAATTAAAACACACACACACATACAGCCTTGGTTGGCTGAGCCTAAACAAGTCTCCATATAAGGTAAGGAATTCTCAAGCACCCTACTTTACTCCTAATTATGCTACGGAGAATGAATATAATTTATCGTGAACTTGGAAATACATCATTTTCAGTTTAAACCTGTAAATGATTTAAATTTATGATCAGAGCTACAAGGTGCAAATATCAATTCCCTCTCAATTCCCAAAGTTTCACATGAATAAGAGGAATAACAATAGCAGGGGTTGATGGAACTCAGATTTTCCACAGATGTGTTTGGTTTGGCCTACACAGTGTCAACAATGTTTTTGAATTTGTTTTGTACACTGTGAGATTTCACATTAAAAAAAACAAAAACAAACAAACAACAAAAAACAACACCCAGATTCCAACTTTCTGGCTTCTATTGAAAAGTTGCAAGATTTTGCAACACTGGGCCACATTCCCATGATAACAATGGACTGAAGTTGTGCAGCTGCTGCCCACTGAAGTTAGGTCTGTGTCCTCAGCTTTGATGGTTGCCCACCAAGTGAACTCGGTCCTATTTGACCTTGTAATCCTGAAGAAATCATTTCATTGTTTTTTCAGAGATGTGGTCAGCCCCGCTATATGTTGCCTAGGCTGCCCTCAAACTCCTAGGCTCAATGATGCTCCTGCCTCAGCCTCTCAAATAGCTAGGACTACAGATCCCAGCTGTGTCTGGCATGTTTTCCTTTTTATTATAACTTCTTATTTTGAAACGGTTTAAGACTCACCAGAAGTTGCAAAAAGAATACAGATGGTTCGCATGTACCCTTCATCCAGGTTCCTCCAATGTGAGAAATCATCTGTAACACTTTTGTTTTAGCTGCCTATATCCAGTCAACTGCCAGTATTTTAGATTTTACCTCTATACTCTCTCTCTCTGATATCCACCCGATTCTTTTCATGCTCCTTGCCAAAAACCAATTCAAGGTCTTTTTCCTTTTCCACAGACTGCCATAGTCTAACTGGGCTCCTTGCCTCTCTTCTTTCCCTTCTCTAGGCTATCTAACAGACTACCAGGGGCACCTGCCTAAAGAACAGTTTGCTCACAACTTTCAATGACTCTCTTCAGTGCCTGTCAAATTCAGTTACGTTCTTTACTATGACATTCAAAGCCCTCCACAGTTTGGCTCCAGACTCTTCAATTTCATGGACTAGTACAATTTCAAAACAAAATCTAGGCAGAAACATAGTTGCCACCTCTTTCTTTTACCAAGTCAAGTCATTTTTTAAAAAATCCCACCATTGACCAACACCATCATTTCATTTGTAAAATGACACTTTGGTATTAAGAAAATAAGAGAATAACAAATCTCAGAGTACAGTACAGTCCTGCCCAGGAAGGATAATTAGCAACTACATAATGACATCTTTAATTATGCTGTACTTAACTTTTTTAAAGGCATGGATTGGTAAAAACTTCACCTGAGATCAGCACTGATCGGCAGATGAACATTTGGGAGTCAGGGGTTCAGGCAAAGTGGACCATTCAGTTCTCTGGAATACATCTATGCTTTTCTGCCTTCAAGTCTGTTCTGTATGTAATACTTAAAATACTATCCCAAGCATTGGTCCCCCTCTTTTCCAGGGTGTATCCTATCAATCCATGAAGGCCCATCTCAATTGTCACCTTCTTCATAAACTTGTCCTTCTCCCTCACCAGTCCCGCTGTAATTTCTCCCTTCCTTCTTTGAATTCCCCTAGCACTTTCTTTAGCTCCCTACGCACTTATCTTACTCTACCACACATTTAAGTCCTTCAAGTATTTACAGTCCCTGTTAAAGTTTATTGAGCCCTGAGATATGTCTTTGCAACATCATAATTTGCATATAACAGGCGGTAACTTACTATTTTATGAATGGAAGGTATATGGATGTATCTAAGTTTACTTCCTTTCCCAGTCATTTTCTTTGTGAGAATAGGAATATGTTCTGGCAGTCACTTATAAGAAAATTGGAGGGACACTAATGGGCTATTTCTTTCCACTCTTTTTTGTTTACATGTGTAGGGGGCTTAATTCTTAGGGCTAGCAATGATATATTCTACCCTAAATTTGTTCGCCAATTTTAGTAAGACTATAACTGAAAGAAAGAATTCAGGCAATATATACTTCAACTGATATGCATTATTCAACATGAATTTATAAAACCCTAGGTGATATCTGAACTGAGTTAAGTGCTACTTCTAACTCGGAAAAAGCAAAGGTAGTATAACTGGATGAAGTTCAATGTTCCACATCAAATGATCAATAAACAGCTCTGTCTAAACTATAATAGATTTATGTCACTTATATTCCCAAAGTAATCATTTTTCATGGCTGCTATTCTTCCACGTTCGTAAGAGTTCAATAAACCAGAGGATGGGCAAACTTTTTCTGCAAAGGGCCAGAGAGTAAACATTTGAGGATTTGTGGGCCATACAGTATCTGTTGCAACTCCTCAGTTCTGCCACTGCAGTGGGAAAGTAGCCATAGATAATAACTAAACAAATGGGGATGGTTCCATTCCAATAAAATTTTATTTGCAAATCCAGGTGGTGGGCTGCATTTGGGTCTGGGGCAGTAATTTGCCTTTCAAATAGAATTGAGGGTCAGGGGCAGTGGCTCATGCCTGTAATAGCAGCACTTTGGGAGGCCAAGGTGGGCAGATCATGAGGTCAGGAGTTCGAGACCAGCCTGGCCAACATAGTGAAACCCGTCTCTACTAAAAATACAAAAATTAGCCAGGCATGGTGGTGCATGCCTGTAGTCCCAGCTACTCGGGAGGCTGAGGCAGGAGAATCGCTTGAGCTCAGGAGGCAGAGGTTGCAGTAAGCCAAGATTGAACCACTGCACTCCAGCCTCAAGATTCCATCTCAGGAAAATAATAATAATAATTGAGGCAGTAACAGTTTAAATGCAGGGTCAAGGTAGAGGTTTTTAAGGTAGGGAGGCACTGGCAGGAATACAAGAACCTAATCTCTGAGTCTTTGCATAAGGGTCAGAGAAAGAGAAGAAAAAAACTCCTAGCTTTAAACATAGTTATTGACACTAGTAATAAAGTCAGCCAACTACAGGGATAAAGAGTATAAAGAACCAAGAGGTTCAAAACTTTTGACGTTGGAATTTTTATTAGTTCAAGATATACATAAAACAGTGCAGATACTTCTTTAAAACAGTAATACTGTATTAAAGAATTGATATAAAAGAAACCAATGTAAGGAATTTAATTCTGCAAATGCTGGTGCAAGAGGGTCTTTATATAGAAGAAACATGGAGCGAAGTTCGAAAATGACTTGAAAGAGGTGCAACAATGTTTAGCAAGCTAAATATTCTCTACAACAGCACAAAACATCCCCTCAGATCATTTGGGCAAGTTCCCTGACCTCAGGCATGTCACACATCATTCCTATGTTACTTCTTTCTGATGGACCGGAGTCCGTGAACTCTGTCCACTTTGTGGTTTCTATAACTCCTACTAAAGAAATATGCTAGTGATTCTCACTTTCTGAAGAGAATGCTTTACTGCCAGGTATAGTTTAGAAAGGGGAAGTACACAAGTATTAGAGGGCCAAGGAAGAAAAAAAAAGGGAGAAAAGTGAGCAGTATGCATATGCAAATAAGAACTGAGGTGAAAATGAATTCAACTAAGGCTCAGTGTAATCCTACTCTAAATTTTTCTTGCTTCAGAATAACTTCTCTGACCATGCCCTACATTTTCTACAATAGCACAAAATATGCCCTCAGATCATCTAGGCAAGTTCCCCAATCTCAGGGATGTCACACATCATTCCTATGTTACTTCTTTCTGATGGACTAGAGTCCCTGGACTCCGTCCACTTTGTGGTTTCTATATCTTTAAACTCCTACTAGAGAAATATGCTAGTGACCCTTACCTTTCTGTAAAAATTTTACTTCATGCATTAGGATCTTTAGCTATGGAATTTAACACTATAGCTATGCTCTAATATGATAAAAGCAAAAAACAAACAAAACAAAAAAAAAATCCTTTGCAGAACAAAGCAAGATATGAAGGGATAACTGAGATCTCTCTGTTTCCAAAGCTTTGAGGATTAGGGAAGGGTCCACTCCTTCTCTGGCATATTTAATACATTAAAGAGGATCCACAGGTTCTTTCAAGTACACATCCTCCATCGTCTATTTGCAGTCTATTTCTTCTTTTTATATTGTCTTCAATAAACCCAACATTCTCCCTACTGCTCTCTTCTACTAGTAGAGTGGGTCCCATAATTCCTTTATTTCCACAACAGGATTAGAGCAAAATCCTGAGTGAATAAAATGTTCTTGTTCTCAGCACAACATGCAGAGTCCCCCTTCTATGTTTTTCTACCTGCCTATTTTAAAAAGGTAATGTATTTTTTTTTTTTTTTTTTGGTCAATCTTAGTTTGCTTTTCATTTTGTGAACAGTATATTCTCTCCTACCTCAAATAACCCAAAAGCTGCATTTATTTAGTTAATCAACTTAGTTATTCATTAGTAGTGGCCAGAACAGTCATTTAGGAGTCAGGAAACAGAGGTTCCTAGTACTGGCTCTGCCACTAAACATGTCATTTTGGAGATTTATGGGCCTCAGTTTCCTCATATGTTAAACAAGGAGGGTAAAGCTGGTCTCTGAATCCCTTCCTGATAAGTCTATGGTACTGTGAATTACAACTATCAATCAGTATGATGCCACAAATGTGAGGAGCAAAGTTAGCAACATATGTAGTGAATGCATTTTTCAGACATTTTTATGATATCTAGAAAACCTTATAATACTGAAATGTGAGATCCAAAATATCATTTTAAAAGTCTAATTTAAGTAAGATTTAGGCCGGGTGCGATGGCTCATGCCTGTAATCCCAACACTTTGGGAGGCCGAGGCGGGCAGATCACAAGGTCAGGAGATCGAGACCATTCTGGCTAACACGGTGAAACCCCGTCTCCACTAAAAATACAAAAAATTAGGCGGGCGTGGTGGCGGGTGCCTGAAGTCCCAGCTACTCAGTAGGCTGAGGCAGGAGAATCGCTTGAACCCGGGAGGCGGAGGTTGCAGTGAGCCGAGATCACGCCACTGCACTCCAGCCTGGGCGACACAGTGAGACTCCGTCTTAAAAAACAAAAAAAGGAAACAAGATTTAGTAATCCCAGATCTTCAGAAATACAGTTAACCATCATTTAGTGCAGTGTTTCTAAATTATTTTTTCATTATTGACCCTCTAAAAAGCCTTTTTAGACATTTTTTCCCCTAATTGCTTCCCCTCCGTGAAATTTTAATAACACATATATACTATATATCTGTGTACAGACTGTATGTATATCTGTGCTTTATACATAAAAAGAGTAAAAATATTTCACACTCCCCTAAGAACTATTTTCTCCCCGCTTGGGGGAAGTATCACCCAGTGAGAATGTGTAATTTAGGAGATCAAGCTTCTGTGGTCCCAAAACTTTTTGCGCCAATAAAAAATAGGTGTAGGACAGGAGCAGTGGCTCACATCTGTAATCCCAGCACTTTGGTAGGCTGAGGCGGGCGGATCACGTGAGGCCAGGAGTTCGAGACCAGCCTGGCCAACATGGTGAAACCCTGTCTCTACTAAAAATACAAAAAATTACCGGGTGTGGTGGCAGGCGCCTGTAATCCCAGCTACTAGGGAGGCTGAGGCACGAGAATTGCTTGAACCCAGGAGGCGGAGGTTACAGTAAGCTGAGATCGTGCCACTGCACTCCAGCCTGGGCGACAGAGCAAGACTCTGTTTCAAAAAAAAAAAAAAAAAAAAAAAAGGTGTAAAAAAAGTCCAAAGTTTATTTGCTTGACAACCATTTCCATTCAAGTGGCTGGAGGTGAAGGTCAGAGGTGATAAAGCAGCTGAAATGACAAATATTACAGTCATGGCAGAAGATCTGGGGGTGAGTGGGGGAGGATGCTAAGTTTCTTCAAAGGAATGGGTAAGAAATGGGGTGAAGTTAGAAAAAAGCCGTGCTCCACACCAATTGGCTGCTGCATTCGGGTCCGGGTGGACTATCAGGGGAGGATGTTCAGATTCAGATGTCTGTCAACCTCAGGGTGGGTGCGCGCTGTCCCTCAGGTCAGCCCGTCCCACTACCCCCACCCAAGGTTGAGGGTGGGATCTCAGGACACCAGGAACAAGGGAGATACCTGCAGAATCTCAACAAATAAAGGGACGGGAATTCTATAGGAAATCACTTTCCCGAACACCTCCTCCCCACCCGCTTGCCTCCTTCAGTATCTCAACCTGGCTCACCCAAGTCCATTGATCAAAGGGGCACTGTTGACTCTTCTCGGAATGTTGCTGTCTGCGGTAGTGGAACTCGGCAGCGATTCGGAACCTACTTCCATTTTCTCCCGTGCCATGTCCGGGTCGAGGAATAAGTTCTCAAGGCTTTCCGGCTGCCGTTCACACAAGGACAAGTCGACTTAGTGGGCAGGTGATGTAAGGAGAGAGGCAAAGGGGAAAAAGAGAAGAGAGGAGAAAGCTCTTAGACGAGTAGGGGTGCCCACCTTTGCAGCCCTAGCATCCCTAACATCAGTGAACACAAAGTTAGGCAGGACTGGCTCCGAACCGCCTATCTCCCATGATCGGGGCCTCTAACGATGAGAAGATCCCCCACCTCCAAGTCTATAATGTAACTGGGGAATTTAATCTGTCACCGCCGCGAATCCTTCTCCATCTCAGCCCTGGCAACTCATGGTAAGCCTTTCCGGCCAAAACAAAAACTACAATCTGCCGCCTTTGACCATCCGTTGGGTTCCGCCCCTCAGAGCCTGCGATACGCTTCCAGTCAGACGACGCGTATTGTGACGCAGGCAATGACGTCACTTCACGCTCCTCTGTCAGCTTTGCCAGGGGCGCAGGCGCAAAGAAGCCGCTTTATCCCCACGTCGTCCCCTCCTTCCTCCTTCCCCAGTGCCCACTCCCCGTGGTTGTGCCTCTACTCTTTTACAAACCCTGGCATGGTTTCCTTAAGCATTATTTAGAAATGAAAGCGTTGGGAGGGGTGAGGTCCTTTCTGCCCTATGCCTAATTCTCAATTTTCTTATCCCTTTATGACTGAGGCCAACAAGCTTCCAACCTCCTATGATGCATTTTTCCATCCTGTAACAGCAGACACACTACACCTTTGTAATTTTAGAAAAGCAAAAGTCTGAAAAGAAAAAAAAAAAGATACTGCTACCGAAGTACTTAGAGGCCACTTGTTCCCAAAGGGTCTTGCTAAGGTGCTAACCTAACTGAGTTCATTTGGCAAACGAATTACTGTTTTCAGTGTGGTTTCTTTCTATTTTAAACCATAATTGTACAGTTTTTTTGTTTTTTGTTTTTTTTTTTTTGAGATGGAATTTCGCTCTTGTTGCTCAGGCTGGAGTGCACTGGCCGTGATCTTGGCTCACTGCAACCTCCACCTCCCAGGTTCAAGCGATTCTCCTGCCTCAGCCTCCCGAGTAGCTGGGATTACAGGCGCTCGCCACCACGCCTGGCTAATTTTTGTATTTTAGTAGAGATGGGGTTTCACCATGTTGGCCAGGCTGGTCTCGAACTCCTGGACCGAAGGTGATCCGCCTGCCTCGTCCTCCCAAAGTGCTGGGATTACAGACGTGAGCCACCGCGCCTGCCTCGGTGTGTGTTTTTACATTATATATAATCTGGCTCCTCACAGCTATTCATATAAAAAAGACCTCAGCTAATTTACAAAGATTTGAGTTAAAGCAGTGAGGCTTTTTAAAAAACAAATATCTCAGAATTTAGTATCTATGCAAATCAGTGTTTTCATTTCAGGTAGTATTAGAAACTACATACATTCTAAGAATGCTGCCATGGCTCATATCATTTTAAGAACTGCTGTTTTAGAAATTTTAACCATCACTTAATGAGCCACACTAAGTACTAAAATCTTAACTCCATGCTAATAATTTTGTAAAACCACACATTTTGGTAACCATATAGAGAACTGGCTGAGAAGGCAAATAAACCTAGTGAAATGGGAGTTGTTAATTAAAATAATCATAACACTTTATAGATAACAATTTTTTTTTTTTTTGAGACAGAGTTTTGCTCTTGTTGCCCAGGTTGGAGTGCAATGGCGCAATCTTGGCTCATCGCAACCTCCACCTCCCGGGTTCAAGCTATTCTCCTGACTCAGCCTCCAGAGTAGCTGGGATTACAGGCATGTGCCACCACTCCCAGCTAATTTTGTATTTTTAGTAGAGATGGGGTTTCTCCGTGTTGGTCATGCTGGTCTCGAACTCCCGACCTCAGGTGATCCACCCGCCTCGGCCTCCCAAAGTGCTGGGATTACAGGTGTGAGCCTCTGCACCTGGCCTACAAAATGTTTTTACATACTTATCTGGATTGGTTCAATCATTAACCCTGCTCAGCTACCCAGTGGTGAACTTAAAATAATGGGACAGTCTTGAGATAGTTCGTGACAAGTTATGACATGTAAGATAATAAATATGTATTCTTTGTTTATTCTGGGAATAGAATAAGACAAACTTGATTATATTAGGCAGAATCAGATTACTTAAATCCCAGACATGAAGATGATGTGGAGTCCCCATTCCTGATATAAGACAGATTAATAATAGCTACTGTTTCTTGGACACTTACTATGTGCCAGGTACTGTCCTAATCACTTTAAATAGGTGATTGCATTTAAAGTTTACAATAATTCTTTGAGGTAGGCACCATCACAATGCCCATTTTTCACAGGGGGAAACCAAAGCCCAGAGGGGTTACTCAAGTTACAACTACTAAGTGGCAAAGCCAAGATTCCTCTGCCCTTCTGTTTAAGTAAAAAAAAAAATGAGGTGCCTCAGAATATCTCCCTGGACACAATTTCTGTACTCATAAGCACTTGATAAATACTTATGAAATTATTTTATGAATAAATGCAGGTTTAAATAGCCTATCTTTCATAGTTATCTTGTAAAGTAGGTAAATCATTTCTGTTTTACAGTTGGATAAAATTCCAAAGAGATTAATGGCACATAATTAGATAGCAGCAGAATTCAGGCTAGTATCAAGATGTTCTAAAAGCCACTGTTAAAATTCCCAGGGTACCTGAAAGTTTATAAAAGATGGTGGTTAAAGCTGAGTAAATTCAGGGTGAATGCAGAAGCAGTGATTAAAGACAGAACAGAGTAAAAAAACAAATTGCCTGAATAACAGAAAAATATGAAGCAGGCCAGTGGACAAGGGAATCTTACCTCCATTCTGTTCATTTTAATTTTCAACGTTTGCTAGTATTCTTGGCAGGTAATAAGATTTCATATGTATATTTTGAATAAATAGATAAAATTTCATCCTGCCTAAGCCTTACAAGTATCTAATTTTTAAATAAGTACAACACTAAGAAAACAGGTATAATAAAATGACAAGGAAAGAGTGACTAATGGATTGTGTTTCTAAGAAAAGGAGTTAGTAATATGAAATAACTAAATATATGAGATGGTAGTAAATTTACAGCTATTATCAAAGAGAAAGAGCTCTCTTTTACTAAAGAACAGCTACATGTCAGGAACCCCAAACCTGTAAAGATATAAATAGGACTCATAGTACATACACAAATTGGAACATCAAAAGGAACAAGTAATACAAAAACAGCAAGAATTCTATATGCTACAATGGCAAACACAACATTAAAGAAATTGTTTTCACTTCTCCCCATTTCTACTCACACATTATTATACCAACCTAGCTGTGTTCCTTGATCAGTTCTTCCAGTTCCAGGGAAATATGCCATGATCTTGGGACACTGTTTTTGTTAGATCTAGACTTGACAATTAGGCTACTCTTCTCTGCATATCCCAGTCTGCTGCCCTGTGTCCCAGGCCGTCACCTATAAAAGGGAAGTAACAAACGTGATAATCAGCTCTTTATTTTACCAGTTGTCATGACAACCTTGAAGCTACATTGTAACCTTTAATTACCACAAGAGCAAGTCAAATACAAGTTGAACCCAAATCTACAAATCACAAACACCCCAAACCTTCCCAAAAGATTTACATGAAAGGTAAAAAAAAAACTAGCAGGCAAGAATGATGTGAATAAAACCTAGAAATGATAGCCAAAGTAGCATTCTTCTCGTCTTGTTCTCCTAAATTGTTAAGCTCCTGGGGTCAGTGCATGTGCCTCCTCAACAAATGATTGTTTAGTAGCTATTGTGAACAAAAGAATGTATTATAATTTCTTTTGAGCAGGGAGTAGGAGGTGGGGCTGGCCTAAAGGGTTGCTGAGACCTTGAGATAAAAAGAGATACCTAAGTTGCTCAAAAACAGAGGTTGTTGTTTCTAATCTAGCTGGGAGAAAAATACAGGCAATTTAAAGGAAACCATCTAAAAGTACTTACAAATCCCTCATACTGCAGGCAGAAAGCATAAACAGTGAGGAATAAAATGACAATTGGCCTTGGCAAGTTTAGTATGGGATAATTGAAAAGAGGCAGGCAAAATTATTATTTCTGGCTGAATTTTGAAAGCAATTTCATAACTATTACATTTCAATGCAATGGCCTTCTCTTTCCCAGGGCCATTCAAGTGGTGAGGATTAAGAGTTTGCGGAGTCCTGTTAAGATAAGAAAGAAAGAGCAAAGCGCCCCAGGTGGGGAAGAACGATGCAAAATTGTTCAGAGAGACCTAGGGCACAACGACCTCGTTCCACATGTGGGTACAGCAGCATGACTTGTTTCCACATGCAGCCCCCTCCAGCTCCCTCCAGCACCTGCCTCTTTGCAGATAGCTCCTCCTCTGCAGTGCTGCCCTTTGCCTCCTTGCAACATATTTTTCATGACTTCTCTAATAAATCTGCCTTTCTTTACCTATGACTGTCTTGGTAAATTCCTTTACCACCCGCGCCACTGGCCAGTTGCACGTGCAACATTTTGGTGGCCCGTATGGGCCTCTCCCCTACTCTCTTCCTTTCCTCCAATTCCAACCTCTCGTTGGACAGCGTCAAAACCCTGAGATAATTTAAAGTTCCTGGCCAGGGCTGCTCCCCAGGGAACCAGGAGGTCCCGGTGGAAAGACATCAGACTGCTGCCCCACGATCCCGTGAGAGTTCAGAATTTGCTTTACTTTTCAGTCTTCCAGCCGACAAATTCTAGTATCCCTCTGGCAATTGATGGCAACTGGTCAGGGCCATTTCCTGGTGTGGCCTGAAGGCCAGCGGGTGTGAACAGGTTTGGCTGCCTTGCCCAGAAGGGAAGAAGGCCCTCTCCTATCCCTTCTGGCGAAAAGGTCTACAATCCCTTTGTGGTGCAATTGGCACATATGTTTTGGGGAGCTCAGAGCCCCTCTTTCTTACTCGAAATAGCCCTGCGAAAACAGCCAGACCTCCTGCTCTGGACGTTCCCAAATTAGGTGATCGCAAACAGCCTCAGAGCAGTGAGTCTCCCCATTCTGGTCCTCTCTCCTGGGATGGGACCAGGCTGAGTTTTTCCTTTACCCTTTTTCCTCGCACTTGGGCTAACCATCCAGCGTAAGGCCCCAGCGCTGAGATGTCCTTTCCAGTAGGTGGGATGCCCCTTTAGAAAGTGCACTCGAGGCCAGGCTCAGTGGCTCATGCTTGTAATCCCAGCACTTTGGGAGGCCGAGGTGGGAGGATCACCTGAGGTCAGGAGTTCAAGACCAGCCTGGCCAACATGGGGAAACTCCGTCTCTACTAAAAATGCAAAAAATTAGCTGGACGTAGTGGTGCATGCCTGTAACCCCAGCTACTTGGGAGGCTAAGAGAGGAGAATTGCTTGAACCTGGGAGGTGGAGGTTGCAGTGAGCCAAGGTCCCACCACTGCACTCCAGCCTGGGTGACAAAGCGAGACTGCATCTCAAAGAAAAAAAACACAAAAAGAAAGAAAGAAAGAAAAGAACAGAAAAGTGCACTGGAATTCCTCAGCAGATGTGAGCTGAGTCCTCTTCCCGGTGGGGCAGTGGGGGGGCGGTTTGCGGCGAGAGAGTGTGCTTCATGTCCGCAGCAGACATTAGCCCCCAGCAGCTCATCGTTTTCCAGTCCCAGCGTGGGACAAACTTCCTCTATTCCGTCAGACTAACCTCTGGGTTGCATCCCAAAACATTGAGACAAATGTAACCCTGAGATTAATAAAAAAAAAAATGAAAAATGTCCAATTTTCTTTTGTAATACAGCACGGCCTCTATGCAGAAAACCTCAAATTAGTCTCCTCAGTCTTTTATAACCAAGAGCAGGATAAGGACAGGGCTAAGGAGAAAGAAGAACGCAGGGACAAGAAGCAGGGTCAACTGTTGGCTGCTTTGCAAGTCCCTAGCCTCCATTCCAGGTTGCCCTAAGGGTACTCCTCCAGATAACTGCCATCAGTGCAGAAGCCCACGCCACTGGAAGGCAAACTGGTCCTATGGGATGAATGACGAAAAACCCCCGCATGGCTTGCCCCCTCTGCCACAAGCTCGGCCACCGGAAATGGGACTGCCCTGGAGGGCCAAAGGGCCCCTGGGACATAATCCCAACCCTTGATGATCATCAGGCCTTAAACTGAAGAGGGGGCTTTCTGCTTTGGCTAGCTTTCAGATCAAACATGAGTCATCAATAAAACAAAGCCAAGGGCAACTCTGGAGGTGGCAAGTAAAATCATAAACTTCCCTTTTGATTTAAAAAGCTGCCTGCCGTGGAGATGCCTCCTCTACCCCTTTCTGGAAATACCTTTTGCTTATGTGGTAAAAACCTGGAAAATTACTATCTGGACTTTAACAGGCTTTTATTTAGATTGAGTCACTATTGGAATTGAGAACACCATGAAAAGAAAATGGTTACATTAAAAGAAGGATGCATAATAATAACATAGCTAGTCTTAGAAAATTCTCTTGAGCAGTTAAAACTTTTTGCAAGCTTGAAAATGCTCTGAACTCGTGGTAAAACAACAGTAGTCACCTTGTGCTGTAGGTCAGTTGCTAAGGTTTTGCCCTATCACAATGGCACCTGGGTTCAATTCCTGGATTTGAAAGTCACTCCTTTGTGGTTTAATACTTGTGGTACTTTTGCCATGTATTGATTATTTTTCCCTCCATGGACAGCTTCTGATTTCCTGTCTTGAAATTTTCTTTTCTCTGAGTTACCTTTGGAGCAGTTCTAGATCTTATAAATTGCTTGCCATCTCTTTGGAGACACCTCATGTTTAAATCATCCCCTCAGTTAAGCTTTCTTTTTTATTTTTTCAGACGGAGTCTCGCTCTGTCGCCAGACTGGAGTATAGTGGTGTGTTCTTGGCTCACTACAACCTCCACCTCCCAGGTTCAAGCGATTCTCCTGCCTCAGCCTCCTGAGTAGCTGGGACTATAGGCGAGCACCACCATGCCCTGCTAAGTTTTGCATTTTTAGTAGAGATGGGGTTTCACCATGTTGGCCAGGATGGTCTCGATCTCTTGAACTCGTGATCCGCCCGCCTCGGCCTCCCAAAGTGCTGGGATAACAGGTGTGAGCCACCACGCCCAGCCAACGCTTCTTAATTTCACATAGGAGGTTACCTTTAGTAAAAGGTTCGAAAACCAGAAATATTGACTCTGTTGCCCAGGCTGAGTGCAGTGGCATGATCTCTCACTGCAACCTCCGCCTCCCAGGTTCAAACAATTCTCCCACCTCAGCCACCAGAGTAGCTGGGATTACAGGCGCATGCCACCATGCCCGGCTATTTTTTTTTGAGATGGAGTCTTGCTCTGTTGCCCAGGCTGGAGTGCCGTGGCATGATCTCAACTCACTGCAACCTCTGCCTCTGCCTCCTGGGTTCAAGCGATGCTCCTGCCTCAGCCCCCCAAGTAGCTGGGACTACAGGCACCTGCCACCATGCCCAGCTAATTTTTTTTGTATTTTTAGTATAGACAGGGTTTCACCATGTTGACCAGGCTGGTCTCGAACTCCTGACCTCGTGATTCGCCCACCTCGGCCTCCCAAAGTGCTGGGATTACAGGCATGAGTCACTGCGACCAGCCGGTAAGGAAGGTTTTAAATAAAAATTTTGTATGAGAAAGGATTTTTTTTTTGTTTTTGACACCATGTCTGCCCAGGCTGGAGTGCAGTTGTGCAATCTCGGCTCACTGCAACCTCGGCCTCCCAGCTTCAAATGATTCTCCTGCCTCAGCCTTCGGAGTAGCTGGGATTACAGGTGCCAACCACCACACCCGGCTAATTTCTGTATTTTTAGTAGAGACAGGGTTTCACCATGTTATGTTGGCCAGACTGGTCTTGAACTCCTGACTTCAAGTCATCTGCCTGCCTTGGCCTCCCAAACTGCTGGGATTACAGGCATGAGCCATTGCGCCCAGCCAAGAAAGGATCTTTTATGACAAATTTTTGTCCTAAAGTAAAATGACCTGTTGTTTAAGAAAGGGGTGTTTAGGACAAGTCAGAAAGCCCTGATGTCCAAGTCAGAAAGTCCATACAGTCTGTGTAAGTCGTGAGAAGGTTTACAAAGGAGAAGTTATGAAAGGAATTTTGTATGTGTTTAAGTTGGTTATAACTGAAAGGGAATAATTTAGGATAATCTAACATCAGTCCCCTATGTTAAAAACAAGATTTTCTTAAGATATTAATCTGCTCTTAATATAATTGTAAGAAGTTAAAGCTTCACAGAATAATATCTCAGTTCAACTTTTGCTGTGCCTTGCTGCTTTCAGCTTTTTCTCCCCGGAGAATGCCAAAGATAATAACTCTCTCCTTCATTTTTTGTCAGCTCCTGTAACTTTTTCCTCCAATTCTGTTATTATGGCCTAATGCTAAAATGTTTCATCTTGAAAATAAAAAAAAAACAACAACAACGAAGCAATGTTTTCCTCTAATATAACTTAATTTTGTGCCCTTTTAAAAAAATATGTCTAAATTATCAATGTAATTTAAAAAAACCTTTTCACACTTTTCCTAAGAGTCATGTATTCACCTGCTATACTCATAACCCTGAATACACTCTTCTTGTGTCTAATTATATTTAAACACTTTTTCTTTGAGTTTAACTTCCAGGCTATCTAAATGGGCTTCCAATAAGGAAAAACAGTCACACTACAAATGGTTGTGGGGTTTTTTGTTTGCCTTTTCAGTAACTGGCTTAAGAAACAAACTTTTATCTTCTAGAATTCAGCAGTTTCACTTTCAAGTAATGCTGTGAATGGGATATCAGTCTCTCCCCAATGATGCCTGCTAGCTTTATGAGTCTCCCCTGGATTCAGCTGGTCACCAGTTTTGCCTTGACATACTCCCACTCTGTGATGAGTCCCTTCCTCCAGCAAGATTCAATATCCTAGGTCCCACAGTCTGGAACAATGACCCACAGGGTCTCCTGACAGACCAACAACCATAGATAGGGTCAACTCTATACCCCTGGTCAGCAGGAAGCAGTTGGAAGATGAGACCTCACCCCCAATTCCAAAGATTTGTCATTGTTGTTCTGAGGGGTGTTACGGGGGG